CCCACAAGGCCAGCAAGCTCTCCTTCCTGGAGACCTGTCGGCTGCGCCTCTTATCTCTATGCCTCTGGCCGCAGCAATGAAAGAGTCAGGGACCCTGGGAGTAAAGAACTGGCTTCAGACAGGAACTCACCATGGTAGGGTGGGATTCAAACCCATGACACCCAAACACTATGCCAGCACTCTCCCCCCTAGGCCAACAAGCTCACCTTCTTGGGACCTTCTCGCCTGCACCTCTTGACTCGGCACCTCTCGCCACAGCAATGAAAGAGTCGGGGCCCCGGGAGTAAACAACTTGCCCAGGAAGCCAGCTCACTACGCCAGGGTGGGATTTGAACTCATAACACCAAGCCTCTAAGCCAGCACTCTCCCCACCAGGCCAACAAGCTCTGCTGAGAGCAAAGTTGTCAGAGGCACCTCTTGACTCGGTGCCTCTGAATGAGGCCTTGTGTTAGTCAAGATAAACAAAGACAGCAGTCTTTAACTTTCTTCCCACCTCAGTCACACTGTTCACACCAAAAGACCCACTTCTCCCTTATCAGGGATTGAACTCTAGTCTTTCTTACATACCAGCGTGGGACTTGGCCCACTAGGCTACTGGAAACACTGGCTGGCTGTTTTCGGAACTAATATATGTCTTCTGTTGAGCTGGTTCCTCTTGGCAGGCACTAAGTGCCCGCAGGTGAGAGACTCAAGAAGCGCAGTGGTTACAGCCCCAGCCTGCGGTGCCGCGCTCTGTTGGTTTTAGTCCCGGGTCCAAACCTCCATTTTTCACTTCCCATCAGGAGAATGGGTCCAGCTAGGTGAGAGCAGGAGTACCTCACCCAGGAGCCCGGCAGCATGGCAGACAGACTGACCTGACCTGGAGCAGAGCTGTGATCCCAGGTCTCCAGTCTATCGGGTGTACATCTACCCTGACTTTGGGGGCGATGTGGTGAAGTGCTATGCCCAGGTCAGGCAGCCTGGGAGGCGAGTCAGGCTCCGGGGTGGGCACAGGCACTGCCTTTCCTCTGCCTCTTGCGCGAGCCCGCCTCAGGCAGCTCCTGCAAGCCCCAGCCATCAAGCCTCATTTCCCCCCTGCCCTGCCTCCCCCTGCTGCGCCCCGTCTCTCCGTGCCCGACTTACCTGGAGCACGCCAGGGCCTGTGGCTGCCCACGGGCACATCCATCTGCGGGGCTGCGGCTGGAGGTACGGTGCGAGGAGGCTGCACAGGCCTCTGCTGGGGCTGCGGGTCCCGGCCGCCAATGCCCAGCTGTGGCACTTGGGCACGAGAGCGGGGGCCAGGGCCAGCTGCACCGCATGGGCAGGAGTGCTCGCCGGGCTCACGACAGATGTTGCATGTGAGTGGTGAGTTATGCTCTGCTCGGTTACCTTCTGCATGAGTTAGATGATATGTGGGGCAGCAGGGCCAGTGGCCGGGAACTTGCACCAAAGCTGCAGGGAGCTGGGAGCTGCGGGTCCCTGGGGGAGCGGGGGGTAGGACAGGTGCTGATCATGGGCAGTCACACCTGATGGGCGCTCACGAGGCTCCTTCCCAGGACAAGCCACCTGTGGCTCGAAGCAGCGCCTGGGTAGGGCAGGCGGGGGGAGACGACTGCTGGGCCAGCCGCTCACACTTGGGACCCGGCAGGGACTCAGAGCCACGTGTCATGGAGCTGGGAGCTGAGCCTGAGCCATCCCCAGTTCCCTGTCCCAACTTGGGCTGGGGCCTGATACCCCACAGCAAGGACTCCCCTCCGAGGGCTCAGGCCTCTGCCTCCCCTTCCAGTCAGCCCTGCTGTGGGCCACGGCCAGGGGCTCTGACTTGGGCTCAGCTGCCCTGGCTGGGCAGAGGCAGGACTGCTACAAAATGGGCTGCAGAGAGAGCCACCACCTCTCACTGTGTTTGCTGTGAAAGCCCCAGACCCTATGAGCGATGTACAGATATAGAGACAGAGATAGAAATATACAGAGATATATACAGATAGAGATATCCATAGAAATATAGAGGTAGCAATGTCTAGAGATAGAGCTATATAGATATATATAGAGCTAGAGATGTACAGTGATATATAGAGATAGAAATAGAGGAGCTGTAGTCTCCTCTAAGGAGAGATATCTCTATGTGTGTCTAAGCTGTAGTCTGGTCTGGACACCTGGGCCCCAAGACATGTTGGGACTAAGACCCCTGGGTTGCTGATCACCATGGAGACAGGGAGTAAAGGAGGCAGGGGAAAGGCTAGGGTGCCTGGGAGTGCCAGCTGATCCCCAGGTGCTGGGGAAACAGCTCTTACCTTTCCTCATTGGGCCCCACCAGGGGGTTGATCCCAGCCAAGCCTGGCATGTTAATGTGGTCACGGATGATCATGATGTCCCCCACATTATATTCTGGGTTGAGGCCACCAGCTGCATTGGTGACAATTAGTGTCTCCACCCCGAGCAAGTGGAAGATCCGTACCGGGAACGTCACCTGGAAGAAAGGTGGGGGGTGAGCAGGATCAGGTGTGCCCCCTCATCTGAAACAAGCAGTTCTAGTGACAGGTGTTGCCCTTGGCCTTGAGCTTTCTCTCTCCTACCCCAAAACTCTTCCAGTGGCCCCCATTCTCAGGCCACACAGCCTTCTGCCAACCCAGGGTCCTTCCCTCCACTTCACACCACGTCTGCCACTCACCTTCCACAGGGGATAGCCTTCATACATATGGAAGCGACCCTGCATCACCACGCAGGGCTTTCCAGACAACCTCCCAAAGACTAGCTTTCCTGCATGACCTACGACTGGAAAGAGACAGCAAAAAGTTAAACTCAGCTTGATTTCCCATTGTACAGCACAGCCTCCCCTTCCCCATCTCATCTTCTCCTGCCCTCTCACACTCATTATACAGTCCAGCTGCCCCTTCATCCCAAGTACCTGTGCTCTGGGGGAAGTTGGGGATGTCCGTGTACTTGATCACCACTTGATCCTTCAGTAGATTGGCCAGGCCCCCAAGGCCTGAACCACAGATAACAGCCACGCGAGGCCGCTCTTTGGTGTTGGCCTGGAGCCATTCAGCTGTCTCCTTGTACTGCTCATAGGTGTACCTTGAAGACAAAATACCAGCAGGTAAAGAAGCCATCATAAACCATCCTGCTTCAGTCTCATCCCGTGAGATGCAAAGTCTCTCCCAGGAGCTCTCTTGCGTTATGTCTCATTCCCATTCTTCTCCTGAGAAGCCACCCTCTTCCCTCACCCTGTTTGCGGAGACAGACACCTTTTCCAATACATCATTTCCTCCCATACACCAGCAGCAACAACCTTTAGGATGAAACCAGGCTGACACTCGGTAGTCCAATTACCCAATAGTCTGGGGAAAGAGATTTACAGCAGCAATATCTGCTGCAACTTGCCTGGAGCCAATCATGTGACAGGAACATGAGATGTGTAAAACAAACCATAATTACTAATGTAATAGGAAGCACATGCAACCCAAACAATATTTGCCTTCTTGGGTTTTTCCGCCCATATCCATCCTTAACTGCTCTCAGCTGAGATTACACAGCAAGGACATCCTGAGATGGACTCATCCAAAACTCAACAGAAACCTCCACCAGGGGAAAAAACATTCTGTTCTGTTCCTGGGTGGGTGTAAAGCAGCTTCAGCTTAGCTCTGGCCAAGCATCCAGCTGGGAATCTGGCCCACAGTCCAATAACCCTCGTGCTTGGGTGAGTCCAAGTAATTAGCTGGGTTAAAAAGCCCCATGACCCTCATGTTCACAGGAAACGGCAGACAATTTGATTTGCTGTGATTATAAGTTTTGTAAGGCACTGTCTGAAGCTGGATGAGTCCAATGAGAATTGAGCCAGGAGGGGGGCACTGGGACCAGCACTATCTATCTGGGGAATGCATCCCCCAACTCCACTCCCTGCAGCACAGCAGCCCCCAGCACTAACTGCAAGTGGAGAACACCACCCCCTCCCCAACCAGAGCTTGCACCTTGCTCCTTGCAGGAAGGCCACTGTGCGGTCAGCACTAGCTGCCAGGGGAGAGCACTCCTCTCTAGAGCCAGCCCCTTGCACTGCGCTAGGATGCTGACATCAGTGCAGGCCCCAAGCAACAGCGACTCACGTGGACCCCCCACCCACACTTTGCCCCTGCTTAGCAAAGACTCTGAAGTGAGCTCTGAACAGAGTTGGACGTCTGCTCCTGCCTCCCATGGTCCCAGAGCAGTCACCGGCACATGCAGCAACTTGACAATGAACCCAACTTCACTGGGGGGATCCCCTGTGGGAGTAGGACTGAAAAACACCCGTCTTCTGTAAAGGACTCATTTGTCCCTGGGGTCACAGAGAAGGACTTGATCCAAGACTGACGGACACGTGTTTTAGGAATGCATGGAGGCATGGGCTCCAGGACAGGGGGCAAGATCACATGCGTGGGGGGGGGAAGTGAAGGGAAGGGAACAGTTTTCTTGCTACTGGCATCTTCCCCACTCAGTTGCTTGCCATCTAGGACAGCAGCTGAGTGGCAGAGTCTGGGGGAAGCTGGAAACACTCTCAGAAAATGCTGCCTTGCCAGAGACAGGGAGACAACCCATGAATCCTGGTTCCCACGCCAGCCCACTACTCTAGCTAACTAGACCCCACTGCCCTCCTTTAGCTGGGGATAAAATCCAGTAGCCCAAGCCCTGAGCCCCTTCAACACCTCCCTCACCTCTACCCAGCTGCACTCCCCAACTCCAGGGCTGGGTGTGAGCAAATCTCTCCGATAACCACATGGAGAGGGTCAGATTGACAAGGCTGCCAAGCTGGGACCTCTCACAAAGGGGAGGTCCCATCAGTGACACTAGAAAACCACTGATAAAACCATGAGTTTTATCTGCTGTAGAGGGGAACCAACTGATCCATCCCCTGGGAGTAAAGAAGAGTCAAAACACACTCGGCAATGATCCAAGTGGTTATGCCACTAGTTCCCCCAGCCCCACAGACCTAGCTGGCCAGAGCTCTTCTCCACGGTCGGCTCCTGGGGACTCACAACCCTGCCATGCAGGCCATTCCCCACAATTGCTCAGAAGGGCAAAAGCAGAAAGCACCAGGATGGGCGCCATGGGGCACTGCCCTACTGAAGGGACATGGACTGCCAAAGACAGGAGGGCATTGCATAGCCAGCAGGAAGGACAGGGACAGATGCCCCCCTCCGCCCCCAGCAGAGACACGTACCAGGCCAAGCTCATTAACCCCTAACTGCCAGACTCCCAGACTGGGAGAGAGCTGCTCTCCTAATGCACAACCCCCACCTCTGCCCTGACCCATATCCGCCCTTACTCAAGTCCTTGCCTATATGCCGCCTCTCACGTCCCTGCCCTGCAGCTGACTCAATCCCTGCCCTGCAGCTGACTCAGTGTTTAGCCACACCAGAACATAACAATGTTGGGCCAGTCCCAACAGCAACGGGACCTTCCTCATGCCACCCAGCTTTGCATAATCCGGGCAGGGGGAAGGGGTGCAGTCAGCAGAGCGGCGCAAACACAGGCTCCCGTCTCCATAGCAAACAGCAACTTCTTTTCCTTGTGACCCAAGAGCCCCGCGAGCGCCCTTCCCCTCGCCTCGCACACCCTCGTTAATGAATGACAGCCTTCCTTCCCAGCACCCCGCCCCGCCCCGCTGCCGGGCGGCAGGAGAAGGGCCAGCGCACAGGCTTTGTTCGGCTCCGCAACGCGGGCTACCAATTGGCTACAACTCGAGGGTGTGAGCGCTACCGCACGTTCTCATTGGCCGCCTGCCCAGAGCCGGCTGTGAGGTCACAATTGGGAAGGGAACAGAACGTTGCGGGGACCCGCGCCGGAGGGAGAGGAGGGATGGGATGGGATGGGGAGGGATGGGGGGGTCGAGCTCTCCCCGCACCCTGCTGCCCGCCCGGGGGACCCCGCAGGCACCCGAGCAGAGCCCCCCTTGCCCCGCCCCCGGACACCTGCCTGTCCCATGCCCGTGCCCATAGGAGA